GCTGCCTGTGAAGGTTAGTTTGGTGCAAGTACATTGTGTTGTGATTTTAAATCTGCAGGCTGAGAGAGCGCCATCAGGATGTGCTGCGTCAGAAGCTGTTCAAACTGAAACGGGAACAGGGAGTGGAAAGCGAACCTCTGTTCCCCATCATCAAAGAGGAACCCAGGAGCGACGAAGACAAGTGAGTTACTGCCATGCCACATAGTGCCTTCACACCTTTTGATCCTTCTCACATTTTTGTGTAATTATCCCTGCTAAATTTGTTTACAAAAAACCCCCCAAAAAGGATTGGGTAGCTATTTATTGAGCTGCCGTTGGTTAATATTTGATGGACCTGCCTCTGGTTTACTCTCTGCTATGTAACTAAATCTTCACAGTTTTCCCAATAGTGGCTCACACTCGATCAAATTGATTTTTAAGTCTTTCCCCATATTCTTAATTGGATTTTGGTCTGGACTTTGACTAGACCATTCTAACGCATGAATATATTTGGATATAAACAACCCATTGGAGCTCTTATCCCTCTCTAAGATAAACCTCCACTTTTCTACAACCCCTAACAGGTTTTCTTCCAGGGTAGCCATGTTTTAGCCCCATTAAGCACTTAAATGCTGAAATGCTCTTATCCTGATAAAGGAAGTCATCTTTTAAGCACCAACAGCGTCACTGCAGTCACACCTGCAGCACCTTTAGAGATGGTCCGGGACCCGATTAATGGTTTGGTGGACGATCGTGTCCTGGAAGGTCTGCAGATCAATCACGATCTGTTTAGATAAAGGAGTGGACTATAAATGAAGTCCATGATACAGATTTGAAGTAATGAATTTTTACTTTGTGTTTTTGTGCAACCTAAAATCTCCAAATTAACTGATAAAACAGTCAGATCCTTCCCTTTAAGGCAGGGGTGGGGAATTCCAGTTCCAGTATCCTGCAATTTTTAGATCCATCCTTGGTCCAACAAACTTGAATCAAACAGCTGAGTTACCTCGTCAGTATTTTGTCAGCTCCTCCAGCGTCCTCTCAATCATCTAATTACTTGATTCAGGTGGGTTGAACCAAAGGCACATCTAAAAGTTGCAGGAAACCAATCCTCAGGAACTGGAATTACCCACCCCTGCTTTAAGGATTTTTGAAAGACACTATTAATGTTTAGCATGGAAATAAGGAGTCTTATTTTAGCGTCTGTCTGATACAAACATCTCATTGTTTAGCGATGGGGAGAAAATGAGGGAGAGGACAGCAGAAGACGGCGGCCCGTCCACATCATCATCCCGAACAAATAAGAACAGAGAAGATGAAGAAGGGGCGGCCCCTTCAACCTCTGCAGCGGGGAGCCAGGATGAGGAAGGAGGGGAGAAAGATGAGGAGGGAAAGGATGAGGCAGCAGAGGCTGTTTTGACAGAAGAGGACCTCATCCAGCAGAGCCAGGCGGAGTACGATTCCGGTCGCTACAGTCCCACGCTGCTCACCCTCTCTGAGCTGCCTCTGGATACTCACACCATCACGCCTGAGGAAGATGCACACAGGCTCCAGTTAGCTCGTAGACAGCTTCAAGTCACAGGTAAGGCACTTTGGGCTCACTCCTCCAAGGGAACTTAGATGTGTGAATATCAGAGCTCCAAAATATCTCTTTCTGTGCATCTCAGGTGACGCCAACGAAAGCGCAGAAGATGCTTTTGTGCGCCGAGCCAAAGAGGGGATGGGCAACGACGAGGCGCAGTTCAGCGTGGAGATTCCCGTCGCCGGGAAAATGTACCTGTGGGCGGATAAGTACCGTCCCCGCAAACCCCGCTTCTTCAACAGGGTCCACACAGGCTTCGAGTGGAACAAGTACAACCAGACTCACTACGACTTCGACAACCCCCCGCCCAAGATCGTCCAGGGATACAAGTTCAACATCTTCTACCCCGACCTGATCGACAAGCGCTCCACGCCCCAGTACTTCCTGGAACCCTGTCCCGACAACAAGGACTTTGGGATTTTGAGGTTCCACGCCGGCCCGCCCTATGAGGACATTGCTTTTAAGATTGTGAACAGGGAGTGGGAGTATTCCCACCGACACGGCTTCCGCTGTCAGTTTGCCAACGGGATTTTCCAGCTCTGGTTCCACTTTAAGAGATATCGCTATAGGAGATGAAGGCTAAACCACCAACATGAACCTAAACCTCAGGGAGCAGTTTGGGAAATCAGACCTAGAAAAACACATAGAAACTGGATGATTTGGGTCTTTTGTTCAACTTTTAGCTGCTCTCGCATTAAAGTAGAGCTTTGGTTACAAACGCTGTAATGTTGTGTAATAGTTAAACTGTAAATGATGTCAGCTAAATACAAATTAAAGATTTTTTTTCTACTGATTGGAAGCTGCCAATTATTGACTGTTCTAAAATCTAAGGTGAAATCATTGGAAAATCATAGATGATCTGTTTAAATGAGGCTATTTACAAGAAATTCACAACCTGAGAGAAATATTTTTAAAGGAATGAAAACCATGAGTCCATTAGCTAGAACAGAGCTGTACAAGATACTGGAAATGGATTAGAACTGCAAAATGAGTTTGAGCAGTACTGTAAAAGTTGATTAGAAAGCAAACATTGAAGGCTTTTTTAATATCAGGACTACGGTATTCACTTTGGTTAACTCTAGATAACTGCTGCAGTAATAATACAGGAGAGAAGTGATGGATCCATGCCATTAATGGGGTCTATTTTATTCTTCTAGTGAAGTTAGTCATTTGGATTGCTTAGGTGTGATTTTTGGTCTCATCCCTGAAGAGGTCTATTATAGCCTCCTTTATTTACTTCTTTCCTTAGATTTGCCATTTGGGTTTTTGTCATGTAACTGACTAGCAGCTTTTTCCTTTTTTCCCTCTGAATCTAATGGACACCTGCTCCTGTTGAATTTCATTGTCTTGATGAAAGAAATCAACCTTTACCTCATCTTAAATTATTACAAATCTTTATCGCTTAAAAAAAAAATCATCCTCGGTGTGGTTAGATAAAGACCCCTAGAACTGCTCAAAGTTTACAGCTCTTTTTCCTCTCTGTTCGATGTATAGGTTGAAATCCAGTGTTTAGTCTGATCTCGCCTAACCCAGACCCTTTTACTAGATTTCTATCAACTTTAGACTCTAACGTGATTTTCTTTTAAGTTGTGGCGTCTTGAGCAGTGAATAGAAATGGAAGCCATTATAGTTGATTTTAAAGCTGTTCTCTGAAAAGATATGTATTATGGAGGACCAGAAGAGTCACTTAAACAGGAAAAAAAGCCATTTCAAGTTAAACATGTAAATCATACAATTAGAAAACCAATTTGAAATGTGTTTTTTTATTGCAATTTTCAATTAAATCATTAAAGGCATTTCCATCTCATCCATCACCATTGTTCATTTTGTGACCAATGGTGATGGATGAGATGGTCATTTTGTGAGCCAAGTGTGGTGATCTAACCAATGAGAAACCGGGTTTCATCTTGGTTAACTGGTTTTCTGTGAGCTCAGGGACCAAGAGGGTCATGGAAATGATAGAGATGGAACTTCAAATAGGATTTGAAAGTTTAATAAGGCCATGAAAAGCTCTATAGGCCACTATCTTCTAAAATCTTTATTAGGAAAGATATATATATATTTATTAATTGTCGTTCTCAAGTCCCCATTTAGAAACATGATTAGAAAATACATTTTCAAATTGCAGCATTTAAGAATTAATTAATAAATATATTTTACAATTCTTTAATAGTTTAATTTAAAATGTGCAATTTGAAAATATTCATTTCAAATTAGGTTTTTAATTGTATGATTTGAAATAGCAGGGGTTTGTTTTAGCGTCTCTCCTGGTCCCCTATACTGTAGCTGCTGGTTCCAGGTCTTTCTTGTTCTTTGATCACTCAGAAAATTATTCTTTAAACGGTTCTTTAGAAATCTTAGATAACCCATCTTAGGGCTTGTTTATGCAGAAAGGATATTCCTCTTCCAGATTATGACCTTAAAGAGGGTCACTGCAATTTTCAAGTCGAGAAATGCAACAATTATTAACTGATCTCTTTGATACCCTTCTTGATTAGGATTAATCTAGTCTATAGAAGGAATTTTCAAATTACTGTGATCCAAGCTGTTGCTTTGCCCCTTTTCCAGCTACCTTTCTTTGTGTTTTGCATGTTCCCTCTATCGATCCATTTAACACAGCCTAACATCCTGGATGCATTTATTTCTCAATATATATATTGATAACTTTCATTTAACTGAAAATAAAGTTAATACCTTCAGTCCTTATGGACCAACTGCAGAACGGAAACTTTGAAAAGAAGCAGTTTTAATGTTTGTCAGAACACAGGCCGTCACAGGGGACTCCAGCATGACGACCAAACAACTTAAACCGAGGAAAAGTCTTTTATAAATTAAAAGAATATTTAAAAAAGTGACTTTATTTCAAAGGAATAAAGAAATAAACTCTTTCCAGATGGCAATCAGAACAATGTGGCTCAATTCCATTTACAGTAGAAAACTCCTGGAAACTCATCCAGACAGTGAACAATATGAACATTACAAAACACATAAAAAACCAAAACATTCAACTTTAACAAAATAAAAGCTTTACAGTTAGTTTGAACAACTATGAGTTATTCCAATAAAAGCCTCCTGAATAGAGACCAGAGGAGAGATGAACCATTTTTTTTTTGCTTCTTAACTCTAATTAAATAAGAAAAAAAAAAAAAATTGGCTCACTCACATTCATTAATCAATCAATCCAAACTGGAGCTCACAGTAAAACTGATTACACAGTAGCAGCTACTTGCCCTCTGGTATGAATATCTGTGCAATGAATTATATGAGTAGAAGCAAAAACTGATTTTATAAGCCTTAAGCTAAAGCAGAAACATTCCTCTCAGCATTTTTAGCAAGATTTATGCATTAGTGGACAGTTTTAATTGCCCCCTTACTTTTTCAAGGTAAAGAAGATACAAAGAAGCTCTTACAAACTTTCACTCTAGCAGGTTACCTGGCCTTAATCTGGAAGTGTGATGGTGTTTGAATGAAATGATTGGCTTTTTTTTTTTTTTTAAACCAGGATATCTACATTAGTAAAAAGGTAGAAAGGGATTTATTCTCACAATAACATAAAACAACAAACCTGAAGTTATCTTAACAAAAGGCCATTTGTGATTTTTAAAGACACCCCCAAAATCTACAACGGACAAAAACCAAGTAAAAGTTAAACCTTGGTCCCTGTAATCCTTCATCCTAGAAATACTCAACCTGAGAATCGCACAAATGTCAAAGAGAATAAGTAAAGAAAAATAATCCTTTACTTAAAAAACTACAGGTATTTTAATAATTACAGGGTTTAAATGATGGAAATGTATTTTCTACAAGATTTTTTAGGTTGTTTTTTTTCCAGGATACTCTTCTTTCTTTTAAACAATGAAGCCAATACAAAAATTAAAGATCTTGCTAAAAATCTTGAAGAAATGCGCCATCTTTGTTCTAATCCCTTTTAAAGAAAACCAGGTTCTTTTCCACTGAGTTATTCACAGAGACGAATCTAAAGCTAAATATATCCATTTACTTTTCCCAGTCCTTTTCAAACAGATGACTCATCATCGATGAACTGCATAGACGAAAGGTGAACCCTTTGTGCGTCGGTCTCGGCTGAATCACCTCCAGCACTGTTGTGGTTGTTCAGGGTTTTCGCCACCAAGGGCTCACTGGGCTGCTTGGCCTCCTGGTCGGGAGTCTGTTCCTGTTCATCTTTTTTCCCTTTCATGCCGTCCCAAAGCAGACGCAGGCGGGACTTACAAGACATCCATGTCAAAAGGAGAAGAATACAACAAGCCAGGAGGATGATCACACAGATCAGTCCGGTATGAGATGCACTACTGCTCTGAGGCTGAGGAACTGATGTCACTCCAGTCTTGTCCGACCTTTTGGAGTCTATGCTGACCTGGTAAGAAGCTACAAGGGTTCTATGCTCACCAGTTTTATTTTTCTCCACAGAGAAGCAGCGATAAAGCCCTGCATCATTAGCTAAGCCGTTCAGGATGAGCGGTCCATTCTGAGGAGAATATTGGAGTTCATGGTCATCCTTCATCCAAAGGAGCTTTGCCAGGTTGGAAAGGGAAGGACAGTTGAGCTCAACTTTCTCTCCAAGCGAGATGGAGCGCGGGGAGGGCTCAGCAGGCTCTAAAATCAAAGCAAAGACTCAAAGGTGGATTTTATAACTTTAACCACCCAAAACAATCCACAAGGGGAATTCCTTTAACCACAAGCTCCTTAAAATGTCAAAAGTGATACCACTGCCAGAGTGCACTAACTCACCATCCTTGCAATTAGAGGAATTTCCATTCATATTTTGGATTAATATGCTAAAAAAAGAAATGGAAAAACTAGTTTAGTTTAAAATGAACCAGCATAGCACCGTTTGCTCAAAACTTTTTATATTTTACCACAGAGAAATATAAAAGAGTATTTTATAACAGGGTTTATACAGGAATGAATAACTCAAATGTAATGCTCTTTTAATGCGCTCAGAAATAATTTTAATGCCACCAACAGGTACCCGTGGACAGGCTGCAGCCATGTCCCAAATTCCTCATTTTCCAGCCACTTTTGTTGAAATTTGCTCCCCCCCCGCCTATTCTCTAGCCTTTTCTCCGACTCAAGCTTCTTTTCTGAACATACAGCTTTCAATCAACCAGAAGCAGTTACACGCAAGTGTATTTACCCTTAATTTGAGATGGTAAATTAGATAATTTGCCAATGGAACGAGTATTTCTACTCTTAAAATAAGATAATCAGATAATATGCACTTGAAATAAGACGATGCAATCGTGTTTTCTTATTTTAAATCTAAATAGTCTTGTTCCATTAGCAAAGTGTCTCTTTTATATCCTCAATTCAAGAACAAATGCACTTTTTATGAGAAAAAAAAGACTTATCTAGATTTAGATTTTTTCCAGTGCAAATGTGATATAATATGTCTGACTAAATTGTTTTTATAAACATTTTTTTAATAAAGCATTTTAAATGTCACAATAAACACATTCAATGAATTTTAATAAAAAAAATTAATAATTTAATGACTTTAATGATTTTTAATGACCCGCAGAAACCTTGTATAAGGATTCTTTCTGATAAACAAACAAAAGCAGAACATGACTGTGAACTGGAAGGCAATACATGCTTTTTAAACGTTGTCTTCCTCTACATAAATGTCAGTGCAACTACATGCTTTTAAAAGTCATATTGCAGCAAACAACTACACCTACATCTAGACCTGCAGGATGTAAAGGATGACAGGGGATCATACCATGAGTTGTCTTCCTTAATCCTCCATTACATTATATCAAATAGCCCACGGGTTAATAAACAGTACTGAACAAACAGTATTAGAAGGACCAAGAAACAGAACAGATAGGGAGAGATTTATAGGAGGGTTAGGATTCTAAACAATAATCCAGGCTTTAAACGTCACAGAGCACTTTTTAATCTGTCATCCGAAAATGTAAAGATGATAAAATAAATGCAGACCTAGCTGAACCCGATCATCTGCCTGAAATACAGGCTACTTAAACTGAAATAAAGACTACCGAACAAATATAGAGGTGGCAAGAAACGTGGAAAAAAATGTTCCGGTTCTCAATGTTACCAGAACTAACATTTTATGGCCCACTTACAAAATGCTAAAAAAATAAAAAAATAAATAAACTACACCCTACAGGAGCCTGAATACAGCTTCCCTAAAGTGAAACACAGAGGTGGCAGCATCCTGCCGTGGGGATTATTATCTATGGCAAGTGCAGATAAATAGTCAATAGTAAATTGGAAAATGGACAAAGCAAAAAAACAGAGAAAGTCTAAAAGTTGTTAGGGCTTGAGGTTGAGTTATTTCAGTCTCTTAATGTTCAGAACCAGTCGAGACATGAAGCTGCAGCTGCAGCTAAAGGTGTGATTTTCAGAGTTTTATAACCGTGTATCCTTTCCCTTCCAGTTTACAACTAAACACAAGTTCGAGTTGATTAACAACATTATATCACATTTAAATACATTAAGCTTTTCTTTGCAGGACAAAACAAAAGCATTTGTTAAAGAAGTATGAATACTATAGTGTGTTCACTGTTTCCTCTGATTGTTTGGAAAGCTGCCTACCTCTGGCTACCGGAAAGAGAAACACATTTTCCCTTATTACTGTCCCATCCACAGTATGGATCTCTGGCTGAAACACAGTCTTTGCACGTTGAGGACCTCTCACAGTTAGCCGGTGAGATTTGAACAACGCCCACGTCTGATCCGGCGTAAATTTGACCCTGCACGAAACAAAGAAAACTTGATTTAGTGTCAGTCTGAATAGTGATTTAAAGTGGGGATTGTCTAACAACAGTGGCATTACTGTTTTGTTAGAAAACTGGAGGATCTTGACTGGCTGAGGAGAGGAGAAGAGTTGGACTTCTTCTATGATGATCATCTCCCCGTCACTGTATCTGAAAGCCTTCAGTAGTGTTCCTTGGTCTTTTAAAAATAGAACATGAGTTTAGGAACTAAGAACAAAAGAAATAGAGCTTAAACCAGAAACAAGCACACACACACACCTGTGCCTATAAACATGACGTTGTACTTTTCACCATCCAAAGCTTGGACTTGGTTCACTATGATCTGTGTGAATTTCGCTCCCCTTCGACTTAGCACGGGGACGCCTTCTATTGGCTCAATAGCCTGGTCCATGAGGGGCTTGTCTCGAATAAACTGAAGGGTCCTGTCAGGGAGTTGCAGGGTCTGATTTATCCCCATTTTACGAGCTTCGTTGTTTATGCACTGGCGAAGGAGGAAGGCGAGGAGAGAAAGAGAGGGAACACAAACAGTAAAGAGTTCAAGAGGACTCCTGCTGGGTCGGCTTGTAAAAAAAGAACCCAGGCTCACATTGAAATTCTGTTTCGACACACGCTATGAATTAAAGCTCGACTCACAGCTCCAGGCCGCGGCACTGGGACTTCTCCGCTGAATATCACCCACTTTATAAAAGAGGTTTCTACGGAGGCCGGGGTTTTGTACTTCCCCTCTGAAAACACTTTGCTGATGTCAGACATACGGTACGCGCACACTGCGGAAATATCCGATATTTCCCTGAAACACATAAGGAGAAATCCAAAGGTGCACAGAGTGTTAAAACTCAACCACATAGAACATCATTTGTTGGGAAAAACGTACGACTGAGGGGTGAAGACGGCATAAAAAATGCAGTCCTTCCAGTGGCGAGAGGAGTCACACCAGCGGTACGAGTCCTGGATGATGAAAGGCAAACGGTAGCCTGGGATTGGACAATCCAATCGGGCTTTCAGGAAGGATGTCCATCTCTTCTGCAACGTCCTCTCACCGCCGAGATCCCCCTACGGGCACAGAAGGATGGAGTTACAACCCAAGGTCAAATGGAAACACGGACAGAGGGGAAGCATGATCACGAAGCGGAAAGGGCAGAACCGGAGCAGCTGAGGAAGTCCTGTGTCTGTGATTGTCGTTGAGATTACCTTGCACACACGAGCCACGCGGGACACCACCAGTTTTCTGTAGCAGTCATACTCCACAGCCGTCTCGCTGAAGAAGAGGTAGACCTTATCATCGTCCCCGTCCTCGCTCTGCTCACTTTCGGGCATCCAGGCCATGGAAACAAAGTTAGGATCTGAAGTAGCAGAAAACAAAACATGGCCAAGTAAATTAACGCAGGAAAAAAGAATAAAATGTTCCAGGTGTACTCCTTCAGTTTTCTTGGTTTATTTCTCCTTAAGCAAACAGAAAAGGTGCTTCTCTTGAGCTGGTAAAAAACCATAAGCCCACCCAGCTGCATGCTGGTCCTACCTTTGACAGCCTATTTATAAACTTAATTCACCCAAATTGTTCATAACTAACCAGAAACAAAGAAACATAACTAAATAATCAAAAATCATCATCTCAAAACAGATATTAAACAATAAAGTACAATAAATACATTTAACTAGATTATCCACAAAAATAAAAAAAATAATTGGCTCCTACAGTTCCTTTATCTGACCAAACACACAGGCCAGACACACTGATACTGATCAGCTTATTACTGCTCAAAGTTGCAAAAATACAAACTCTGTTCCGTTCATGCAAATGAATCAATCCACAGTCCATGAAAAATGATGTTCAGCTAGTTCAAAACACTAAATTCTAAAGAGATTAATTATCTGCTGCTTGGGAGCTTTCCTCTCCACTATTGCTGCATGCATGCTTGTTGGGAGGGATTGCTGACAAAGTCAACAAAATGCATTATCATCTTAAAATGCAAGTGAAAATGAGTGCAGTAAACTCATCTAGCATGAGCAGATGATAACTTGATGCAATCAACTGGTTTTCCTTCCTAGAAACTTTAACCACTCTTACTGTATTGTCTCTGTAAAGTGCCTTTGAGATGACATGTGTTCTGAATTGGTGCTTATTTATGAAATTAATTGAATTATCCAGAAAATTTAAAAAATGCAACAGTAGCATAGTTGAAATTGTGTGTTCAAATGCAAATTAATGAGACAAAGAATGTCCAGATGACCCAATTTGTTTTTAGTTTAAAACACCAAAACAATTTGAAGGCAGTCCAGGATCAAATACCTGGCCAAACTGTGCCTTTACATCAACACAGCTAAGCAAAACTCTAAGATAAAAACAGTAAAAGAAACCACTCAGGGATGCAGGAAGGTTGTAGCCTTTGGCGGATCACGTTTTACCATAAAGCCAGGAGCTTTTTATCTCAGTGCGTATGGAGGAAGGAGCGCTGCGCATCAGGACAGGTTCAGAGCCCAGGAAGTTCATGGAAGTGGCTGAGTAGAGGTCATTCTCTGCCAGGAAATTAGATTCTTATCAAAATGGTGATTCAAAGTTTTCCCCAAACCTTTCGAAGTTCATTATCTCTACTCACCTATCATAATGGAGGCATGTCTTTGAAACGGATCGAAGGGACACTTTCCTTTTCCATCCTCTACTTTTTTTTCAAGATTCAATTTTCCATCTGAAAAAGACTGCAACAAGAGACGGACATCATTGGACTCTGAAAATATCACAATCCTGATTAAAAGAGAATTATCTTAGATATCCTACCATGTAGTCACATTCTGGATCGAAAGCATTGGTTCCGCACACGTACATCCTACCATCCTCCCTCTTATGGAGTACTCTGATATAGTTCTTGCAGTCTGTCTGGATATGTCAGTTAAAATAGATTTACAAATGATTCAATATGCTATAAATAATGCATTTTTAACTGGAGCAACTTACCTCTTCATTCTTTCCTTTTCTTTTACACTCCGACACCTGCTGCTTCGAAACTTCCCATTTAGCCTTGGAGAAAAACACAGATTGTTGTCAGATTTAATATACCATATTTAACGCACTATAAGCCGCACCGGATTATAAGGCACACCTTTAATGAATTGCCTATTTTAACATGTTTTTCATTTATAAGGTGTACCGCACTACAAGGCGCATAGAATAGAAGCTACAGAAGTGGCTGGCGTTGCATTATGCATCCACTAGATGCAACTGAGCCCAAGAGAATGTCAATAAAACAGTCAAATTAGTAAATCAAACTTTATTGATATATTATTAACAATATGACCAACCATCTTTTTAGCTGTAAATACACAAAAGAAACATGTAAATGTCAATGTATCCCGTCATTTATCATCAACAAATCCCTCAAATCTTTCTTCTTCAGTGTTCGAATTGAACAGTTGGGCTAATGCAAGATCCAACATGCCCGGCTGCGGCTGGTCAAAGCCTTCATTATTTCAGTCAATGTCGCTGCTGTTTTCTGGCAGTTCAGTTTATTTCCCTGCCTTCCTGGAAGCTCAGATCACAGTTGAGACTGATATATATGCCCATGCAGTTAACGTCCACTAGCAGATAGTGGCGTATGTCATCAAACCCTGTCTACCCATCCTGGTGAACGTGTGTTTGCCTTCTGTCATCCACTGCTCCCACGCCGTTTGCTGTCTAGCTTTGAATGCCCTATTGACACCAATATTCCTGCTTCCTGCACTTGCACTATTGATTCATTAATGTTTAGTTCTCGAGCTGCTGCTCTATTCTCATGTTTTACTGTGCACCTGATAGCACTGAGTTTAAACTCTGTGTCATACTCTTGAAAGGAGCCATTATGGAGTCTTAACACAAACAAATGGAAATGGAAATTCCCAGTATGCAATGCGCGCTAGTTTAGAGACCTGTTGAAGCTTAATCTTGATCCATACATGGGGGGGAACCAGATTATAAGGCGCACTGTCGGTTTTTGAGAAAATTGAAGGCTTTTAGGTGTGTCTTATAGTGCGGTATCTAATTTATTCTTCCAATAAAATTTTAGATATTTTTTTTTTAGGGAATGAAATTATTGCTCGCATTTATTTATTGTTGTTTTTCCCACTGTTTCTGGAATGCTCTTTTTTTTTATTTAAAATGTTTTGATAAACATTACAGAGAGACCTTTTTTCTATATTTCATGCAGTACCTAAGTTGTGCCATTAGGTGGGGCCTTTGTTTAGAAAATGGGTGTAGCTAATGGGTGTAGCTCCAAACCAAAATACAAGTAATATTTTATTTCTTTAGAACACAATTTTCGTTAGTGCAGGAAGCGGAAAGAAAAAGACACAAGCCTCCCAAAATGTTTATGTATACAAATCTGAAACATTGAGATTTGAAACATTGATGGATGTGTTGTAGGGATGGGACGATTTATGAAAACCGTCCGAACCGTTCGGTTCGACTGTCTCGGTTCGATTCACGTGTGTTTCGTTCGGTTCATGCGCTGCTCCTTTTTCTCATAGGCGAAGCGTTTACACTCCAGAGCAGAAGGTGGCGGTACTGCGACCAAAGCCAACCACCAGTAGTAAACAAGAAGAAGAAGAAGCGAAGCAGCGTAGCCGGGGAAAAAAATCAGTTGTGGAGAATTGTGTCAGTGGAGAACTCCATCAGCAACCCCCGCTCCGCACCGCTGCGCTCCAGACCGGGTGCTCAAAGCAAAGCCTACAGCCCCCACTGTGGCTCCCGTCCGCTCCCCTCTGAGTCCCTTGGAGATGGTAGAGAGCATGCGCGAGGTGATTAAATTCAAAGCAGCAAAACATACGGAAATGATTCAGGGTTTCCGCGGATCATTTAAAATAATTACAATCCATTATTTTTGGGGGGATTTTTTCATTAATTTCATAAATTTTTATGGGATTTCGGTGTAACAATCAACATATACCGAACCGAAAAACCGTGACCACGAAACCGTGAATCGAACCGAACCGTGGATTTTGTGAACCGTTCCACCCCTAGTGTGTTGTATAGTAACGAAGTAAAAATACTTCACTACTGTACTTGAGTATATTTTGGAGTACTTTATACTTTCCTAGTTTATAAATTTTTGTTTTATAAATTTTACTTTTACTTCACTATATTTCCAAAGTTAATGGCATACTTTTACTCCAATACATTTTCAATGTTTGGTTTAGTTACTTGTTACAAAAACATTGAGCGAGAGAGAGAAACACAAGTGTTTTGACCCCACCTACTGATTGTCTGCAACAAATTCAGGACTTCCCTGGGCTTGTTAATCACCAATAGGATACACCTGTTTCGCTTCTACCATTAAACACAAAGCCGATCTCGCATTCAGCAGCAGCCACTTAGAAGAGGAGACAGAGACAATGACAGCGACTGCAGCAACTTCAGACACGGCTACATCGGAACCACCAGTCGGTGATGAGAATACGTGGCCTTATTTAAACACAATGTACCCTTTTGTGGGTGTTAAAGATTCATCGTACTTGTGGAAGTGTCTGTTATGCCTGCCCAAAATTCTTACATAAACTCCCCGTCCAACTTGAAGAAACACATCAAGGTAACTTCTTATGAAATGGCTGTAATCCTCCTGTTTCAGTAAATATAGCTTGGTCACTAGGCACTATTGTGAAATGTTGAGTATAATGTAACAGTTTTACCACTTCCTGTAGGTTAATTAAGCCTGGTTTACCACTTAACCATGTTCTTAGTATTCACCCCCGATCTAAAGTTTGCCTGCACTTGGTTATGTACAATTTTAAAGTGTACTGCACTGACCTTAAATGAAGAAGGAAAACTGATGGCTTACAAAAAGGTTGTATTTTCTGTCTAAGCACAACCCAGTGCTTTCTCTTGCACTTGGTTGTGTGTATTATTTTAAGTGAATTTGAGCTTCAAAGTTTACCAAAATAAAAAAAAAGTTTTACAGTGATTTTCATACTTAAGTACATGAGATTTTAAATACTTTGAGACTTTCACTGAAGTAACATTTTAGTCAGTGACTTTTTCCCAAAGTCATATTTTACCTAAACTTTTACTTGACTCTGAGATTTTACAACTTTATACAAGATTGTGACATGGGGATGATTTTCTTCAGCTGGGATAAGGTGGTCCAACCTTCCAACAGGAAGAAATGATCTTCCAGCTGCAATTAAATGGATTAGATCATTAAATCCTAGCTAATATTCCATTTTCCAAACTGGTATGCTTACATTACACAAAGAAACAAAAGAGAAAACATTAATATCAAAGACTGCAGATTACTTTCCCATTAATATTTACCTGGAAAGTCAAAAATTGTAATTTACAAATACTTGAAAAATGGGATTAGTCCCCTGACTCCACGTGTAAATTCCCCATTGAACCAACAACCAGAATCCAGTTTAGCTGCTGCATCTTTAAAAATTCAGTATTTATCTTCAATATTTATTTCCACCATGATGGCTTCACGCAGCGTAAAACAAATGTGATCATGTTCTTTCAGCAAGAAACTTTAAGCCAAAAATTATTGCCATCATTGACTGCTAAATGATTCATGTTTCAATGTTTGTTTCACGACTGGCGACCTGTCCAGTGTGGACCTGCCTCTTGCCCATTGACCAGCACCCCTCTCGACCCCATTAGGGACAAGGGTGTCAGATAATGGATGGATGTTTCTTCCATTAGACTGAATTATTCCTTTAGACGAGAAATATTATTATTATTATTATTTAGGTTGGTAGGAAAGTTGACATGAATCAAAAAGAGAAAATTTGAGAGGCAGCCAAAGATTAGGGTGATTGCAAGGAGGCGTTCCAACTGTAAAGACTTGGACCTCATCACCAAAACACATTTTTAAAGATGCACAAACTGGATTATAAACAAAAATAAGAAGGGTTTGATAGCTTTAATGTAGCACTGCAGAGTAATTAGAAGGGTATGAATTATTCCCATCATGTCAGTTTCATCCATCCATCCACTATCTTAACTGCTTATCCCCTAATGGGGTCGTCAGGGAGACTGGAGCCTATCCCAGGGCTACACAGAGACACACAAAGATGAACAACAACGCACACTCACTAATAAGGGCAATTTGGAATGTCTAATGAACCTAAAAAGCAGGTTTTTGGACTATGGGAAGAAACTGGAGAACCCGGGCAGACACGGGGACCTCCGGGACTCAAACCCAGAACCCTCTTCCAGTGAGGCGATGGTGCTAACCACCTCACCACTGTGCCACACATCAGTTTCAGTAAAATGCAAACAGTAATGAATACATTATTTCTGTAAAAATCAGATTTTACTTGATCTTTTGTATAATTATATTTCTAGAGATCCCATCTCATTTTCTTATTAGGAACTAATTAATTGGATGTAAGTAATTAGAAATCCAAATCTCCCAGGGGTGTGAATAATTGGCCTAAAATGCAATGAAATACCGTAATACTCCAAAGCGCTTTACACTTTTAGTGTCAAAAGCTTTGGCCAAAGGCGATAAGCTGGATTGTAATGTGGTTTAATAAAATGTCCTTACTGAGGATATTTTTTTGGTGACGTCAGTGAGGTTGAGAGCGAAGACTTCCCCCCTGGCACCCACCACCAGCAAGTCCAGGTCTTCTCTTAACAACATGGAGGAGTAGTCAAACACGCCCTCCTCCCGAAACAGAAGGGTATTGTTGCCTAGAGAGAGAAGAGTCCTTAACTCACCGTTAATCAGAGAGGCAGCATGTTAGCCAACACACTTAAAAAGCAAGCTTACAGAAGCAGAAAAGAGCAAGACTCACTTTGATAGGACACAGATCTGTGTGGGACACTTTCCAACGGTGAGTCCTCCACAAGCATCAAGGCCACGGGCAGCAGCAGCAGTCCGAAGACACTGAGGGACAGCAGTGGATGCATGGCTCCTTTTGTTCAATCTTAGAGGAATTTTGGGGCTTTATTTTTTCCAAAACAGTCATTCATACAGGGATAAAGACAGCAAGGGACATCTGTGACGTGATGAAGTCTGCAGGGCACTGGCCCCTTCACTGGCCCCGCTCAGCAGGGCGTCCATGGTGAGACGGATGGCACAGAGTGAAGACACAAAGCCAGCTAGAGCTGAAAGAGAGAAGACTGTATGAATATCACTATGAATGCACAACATTGAAGACCTGAGACAGAGAGGGTCTAAAGACCAAACACAGGATGTTAAAAAAAAAGGAGGCAGAGTGAGCTAAAGTCAGCCCAGCAGTAATTCTGTCAGAGCCATAGTGATGTTAATGCATAGCCATGAAAAGCCTTCAGCAGGGTGCAGGGGATGTCTGCCTGGGCTCTGCTGCACCACACAGAACCACAAGTTTCACACAGAGCTTTCAGGTTGTACCACCGAAATGTTGCAAGAAGATAGCTGCTTGCAAAACGCTTGCTTGCCTAAACAGGACACTCTGAGGTTTGATAATCATTGCATCACTACAAGCATCATAAAAATAAACGCTATAACCAGAAAAAAAGCACCCAGTTCTTCTTTCCTGATTCAATTTTGATTACATAGCTGTAATATTATTAGCTTTTTTCTGTTTTTGTTGAGTAGTCAGTCTGCTTTTAGTAGCAGAACCTGCTGAAGGTGTGTGTGCCTCTCCTGAGTAGGTGTATGCGTCGATACGATGAGCCCCGGCATGTCAGAGAATGCGGGCCTGAAGAGATGTTTTCACATTTTCTGGAGCAAAGCCATTTTCACAGAAAATCGCTCACCAGTCCGCTGCTTAACCAAAAATGGAGATAATTAAAGGGGTGCCTCCAGAAAGTTTTCAAGGGAGTGGCAAGAAGAGGGTTCACTGCAAAGTTCTGCTGGTTTCCGGATGTTAATTGTAGGACTAAGATTTTTTTTTTTAAGACCTTTAATATTCTAATTCCTGAATTTAAAAAAAGAAATCCCTTAATTACTTATTAATATAAAGCATGGATCAACAAGCCAACAGCGTACATGTCAGAGTGGTTGCAGCAGTGAAGATGACACAAACTTGACTGTATTGTTAGTTGCTTGGTGCTGCACCACAGGGGGAGAGGCAAGTTATTATTTTTTATTTGAGTGATGCTTTTTGCACTGTTTTGAATTACATTAATCTTGCATTTATTGATCCTTTTATATATTTCATATTTTTTCTGTTCTTATGTATCTTTATATAAAGACAATAAAAATAAAGCTTGTACTTATACTACTAAATCCCTGTTTAATGATATCAATTAAGTATCCTGTAGTAGACAATGCAACTGCAGCATTTTGTTGTTTTTGTGTTAATTTTTTCAAAGTGCCTTCCCTTCATCAAAGGATTTGTAATTTTGAAACACCACATTAGTGACCAAATTCCTGAGCTACAAATCAAGCAAACCAATAGTCATCAGGACATTTAAAACAAATGTGATGGAAGATATTTGTTTAAAAAAGCATTATGTAGCTGCCATCAGAGTCAACTAATTTAAATATTTTGATATTTAGTTAAAACAAGAATTAATACCTACTAGTATTAAAATTAAACATTCAATCATAAATAAATGAATAAGTATATAAACAAATAAATTAATTGATTAATAGCTTTCAGTAAATATATGTTGTTTATGTAGATTGGTTAAAAAGCACATTGAATTGTAAGGAGGAACCTATGTTTTTGTGCTGCATGTCACAGTGTTGCCCATGGGAAAGATTGATTGACACAATTTTTTGCATCACTGGGACTGTTTTTCAAGAAGTTTCACCAGAAATATATATATATATATATATATATATATATATATATATATATATATATATATATATATAATTTAATTAAAAGTCTTGGCAACAGAGCTGGTAGTATTTAGCAGGGCACCATGACTTGTCTAACCGTCAGCAGACCTGAGCGTCTCATGAATCTCTTACCTGAGCATAGAAACGCCCAAGATGCGGAAGCTCCCTTCTAAATAATTCCAGCACCTGTTCGAAAACATTTTAAAGTTCTAAATTTAAAGCAAGAAAGCTTCATGACGAAGTGTAGCACAATGCACAGTGCCGCGGCTAACGCATGAACGTACCTTATAAGATGCGTGGGTCCAATGTGCTGCTTCTCAGTCCCTATGGGGGGGGAAAAAGCGCTCCTGTGACGCTTCCGTCCCAGGCGGGTCTTTGAGAACACTCAACGGAAAGGAGCTCAGGTGCCCTGAAGTAAAAACAAGAAAAACAACCTTTCTGCACGCACATAAAGTGATAAAGTATGTGAATAACTAGTTTGTTCTTCTTTCGCTTTTTGTTGCAGACGCTTCCCTCAAGCTGCCGTTGAGGCGGAGACAGAGGGCACTGATTTATATGAAGCTCCCATTGTTCTTAGTAACGTCCTCAGCCGCTAGAGGTCAGTGCTGATCCAGAGCCAGACAAAGCAGGCAGAGAGGCTAAATAACCTCAGAGGTATATGCAAGAAGAAAGGTTAGAAAGATAGCATTTAAAATAATGTGAAAGATATTAAATCATACACCTACGGAAGAGGATAAGGAATTAAAAAAGTAAACTGAGTTTTAAATTTTATTTCTGTGTAAAATAAGAAATAAGTCAGAATTTTGAGATTAAAGTCAGAATTCTGAGAAAAGGTCAAAATTCTGAGATTAAAGTCAAAATTCTGAGAAAAAGGTCAGAATTTTGTGAAAAAAGTCAGAATTCTGAGATTAAAGTCAGAATTCTGAGATTAAAGTCAGAATTTTGAGAGAAAATTCAGAATTCTGAGATTAAAGTCAGAATTTTGAGAGAAAAGTCAGAATTCTGAGATTAAAGTCAGAATTCTGACTTTAATTTTTTTTTTCCCATATTAAACTGAAATAGAATATAAAAATCAGTTAACTTTTTTATTTTGTCATTGGCCCTAATCCTCTTCCGTACACACCTGTTAAGAGGAATACTTAACAAATAATACATGATCTAAAATCACCTAATGTGTCAACAAATTCACACATAATTTGGAGACAGACAAATCAAAGCATTAAAATGGTCTGGAATTACCATGTGATGATTTTGCATTAACTTGCAAAAGCACAATGTGCATTTGTTTTTATTTTTCATTCTTTTCTTTGAATTCCCTTGTAGCCAAAGTACCAGATCAAGTTTCATCCAGTTTTTCTTTGATCGAATCAAAACAAACACAGTAAAGTAACAAAATACTAGCTAAAGATTATATCCTGTTGTTTACTTCTTGTCCTCAGAACACTTACTCTTCTGACCTGAAGGGTTTCATTATTGACAAGTAACTCAAAAATATATAAATACCACATGGTTATTTACAGACAGAGAATTTTAAAAGCTATCCTCTTTAAAAAAGAGGATATTGAATCAGAAGATTGATTCAATAACTTCTGTAATACCTGTTATTGAACATGCATTTTAACAGCAGTGTTTTTTGAATAGCTTCAAGTACTTGTTTATTTATAGTGTTGTACATTCTTGCAGGTATCAAGCCTAAAATAAACCATTTTTCTTTGCCCTGTTTTAACAGAGATCCTCACAATTACAGTTTATAGTATTAACAATCAAAATTCAGGTATAAAAAATAATAAATGTCATTTTTTTCACATTCTGTGCTGATAAGCTTTGATAAGAGTATTTGAATTCTCCTCTCTATCTTTGTGTTTTTGGGTACAATAAACAGATGGTTTCTACATTCTTCATCATAAATACAATAAAAGATGTTGTAGAACTCAAGGTAGACCATTTGCTAATCAAAATCTTATCAATTTTGCACATTAGTATACAATCCAACCCATTTTATACACAAAATGTGTAGAAATGATCAATTCAAATGCATAAAAGTTATTCACACATTTAATAATGAATTAAACGTATATATATAAGTTCGATTCATCTATTTAAACAATAAAATCAACATTCTTAGGTAAATAAACATACATATTCTTTTATTTATCTTACTGAGGTATTTATAATCTATTACTGTTTTATCTTAACTCCCACCTAGTGATGTATAAATAACCACGGCAGACATTTTCAGAGATTCTAACCAAGGGCATTTTTGCTGCAAGGCAACAGCATTAACCACTGTTGCAAATCACACATTTATTTTTTATATGTATTTATGAACAAATGCACCTCAAAGTTACCATGCAAGATGTTGTTGCATGGGAAATATCTGGATTTTCAGATCTTTTAAACACCTCAGATTAGAACTTTTGCAGTATATGAACGTGTAAGTAAACATTTTTACCATGCAAATAAAAAAAATGAATGGTCGATCATGCATATCAGAAAAGATGCAGTTTTCTCTCAAGTTGAGCTTGAAACTGTCTTGTTGTTTGGAAGGAGAAACAAAATAAAAGCAGGAAATTGAGAAATCATGCTCTCCAGGCTAAACACGAAAGCAGTGCTCACACAGTATCTACCTGTGCCAATATCTGAAATGCTTCAGGGGAAACTCTCTATCTTTGAGTTTAAATGAAGTCTGAATAAACTGCTGTCTCATAGGCTGATAAATGTCCCTTTCTGGTAAGATTTTCCTTATTTCAAAAAGTCCAACAGCTTTATGGCATGTTTCCTTTCAAACTAAGGAACAGAAACATGATACTTTAAAGATAATTGTTTCCTCTCACTTCCCAAATTATTGAAGAACAAGAACTAGGGAGAAACTGTTACAGGTATACAATGTAACTTGTAACTGGATATATATGAAAATTTTTCCTGAACACCACTGCTATGCTATGTGCATTATTCTTCTGAGCATAAAGTGAGGACAGTTTTATATTGTTACTAAAGTTTTAGGTCTTCTGTTATGTATTTGAACCTAATCAGATAAAAGATCCTTTAGCATTTTTTATCGGTGTCTGATGCTTGGAGATTAGAAGACATAATATATGTCACACAGTATTTTCAGACCTAGGATCTGTTCTTGACTTTAAAGCTTGTAAAATAACTGATCCTATCTTTTCAGTGAACCCATCTTGTTCCCTAAATGGAACCTAATTAGACTGAACCATAAAAAAAAAATCAAGAATATTTAACTAAAAGCTTTATTTTGAAAGCCTATGATAGCTTTTCAAAAACTAGAAGACTTTTTTCATCATATATTTGGTTCTGACTCCCAGGAATAGT